TTCCCATCCCGAAAAGTAAACAAACCACCATCCAGCATTTCAACGGCTCTGAGGCGCTCCAATTCGTGCTCGGTGCCCGTCAGCGGGTCGTCCAAGCGAAGTGCCGTATTCTATAGGCTTCGAAAGAAGCCGTCGTCGGAGACTGCGAGAGCAGCCTCAAATGACCCGGGCGGACAAAGGGTGCGCCAACACCCTCCGCCTGGACGGGTCGCAGATGTGAAAGGCAACAAAAGAAAGAGAGGGAGAGGACACCATCCGCCTAGTGGCGAGGGCACGAGATAAGATAAGATCTCCGAAATTCCACCAAAGTATAGGGTAGGTCCCCCCCGCGGCTCCTCATTCTGCCGATGAATTTACTTCCACATGCCCGTTTCCTGTAATTCGACGCCTGCAAACAAGAATCTGATTTGTTTGAAGAATCTTAACACAGAACTCTATATATCACGCAGAATCACCACAGCTAGCATGATATATTGACGTTAGGGACCCATTCGTCCTGCTTCTGCAATCATCTGCCCCGAGCATTCCGACTCTTCTCCCAGTCCCAAGGATTCATCCCCATTCTGTCACAGTAACATCCACCTAGACCCAACCACCCTCTAAGTCGTTGTACAAGCGACTTCTTCCCCGGTTGCACTCAAGACTTTCGATAAGCTCAAATGGGCCCAAGGGGCCAGTTCAGTTACGAGAAGATGATGGCATGCGAAAGGGATCCAGTGTGATGGAAACGGCTCGTCGCAAGCCACAATGATCTGTGCACGACGACACAAGCCAATAGGGGCGCTGACAGCGCTGATGGACAGGGAATATACGAGACAAGGCAGCCAGGATCCCGTGGCGCCTTCGGTCTAATTGGCTGCAAGCACGGGAGAAGATGCCGTGCCCGTCGCCTCGGAAAGCCAGTCAAAGCACCAATGTCCGGGGCCAGGACCATCTTCGCGACAGCCACGGTCCATCATCGTTTGGCGCGGATGCTCTTTTTCACTCGTCCAGACCACTCGGCCAATGCAACGGAGATTGCGACCCGACGTTCTTTTCTTCTTTTCCTTTTTCTTTTTTCTCTTCCCGCGTCGACGCGCGTGGGACGCGTTATGCCGGCCTCACCGGGCTTCGCTGGCACGATGGGATATGAGTTGTTCGCCGGCGAAGCCACGATGGCTTCTACATACATCTGTCGGCGCGCTCGATCAATTCACATGATCGAACCAAAGTTACGATGTCGTCCGAACCACTGTCAAGCCCTTCCCCGCCGAATCGGTCAGAGCTGACTGAGCGTGTGGAGTACTCGTCTTCACCACCTGCATCATCGCAAGGAACGTCGTTGCTGACGACTCCATCACCTCGTCCTCGCGGCACTGCTGTCGACTTTATTCAAGTAGACTGGACGCGCTTGGGCCGCCAAGAATTGGCAAAATGGCCTGGATTCGAGCGTTATACCGGCGGCCAGGATACGAGGGCGTGGTGGCAGCAATACGGGTATCGTGTCGAGGACAGGTCCACTTCGCGCCAGGGCAACAGGCTAAAGTGGATTTGCGCCGATTGCTTCGCTCGAGGCTTCAAGAAGAAGTCAGACTTCTGCTTCGTCTGCTCGACGGGAGCCGCTATCAAGAAGCACCTTCGTAACGCCCACGGAATTCTGGTAAGTGCGTGCCATCCGGAGACATGCCAGCAACATGAGTGTTCACTTGGCAGGCCCCAAACGACGTTGCAGGAGGCGTGCGAGCCTCATCTCTGGACGGCCGACTCATCACCCACTTCATCGGTGCCGACTTCAATAACCCGCACGACCAGTTCCTTGTCAGCAAGCTACGGGGGAGATTCAACAGCAAGGGGCTCCTGGTACTCCTACTCGACTGGATCACATATCATAATCTGCCATTCGATATCGTCAACACCGAGAGGTTCCAACGGCTCCTTCTCTACGGCAATCCGCTCCTTGATGCGACCCATATCCCTCCGGGAAGACGCTACTTCGCATGCTCGAATCTGAATACAGAGGTGCAGTCGGGCCCGTAACGGAAGTACTTCGCACCGCTCGATCCCAGGTTCACTTCTCCTTCGACGGTTGGACATCCAGGTCCTACACTGCATTTCTGGGCATCAATGCTCAATTCATTGATCACGACTTTGCCCAACACCGCATTCTCTTGGGACTGCGACCTCTCTCGGGCAAGCACAACGGTGCCTCGCTTGCCGATGAAGTCGCCGACACACTGGCATTCTGGCAACTCAATAACCCGGACACGGTCGGCTACTTCACGCTGGACAATGCTGCCAGCAATGACACTTGCATGGAAGACCTTGCCTTTGAGCACGGCTTCTCACCCGAAGAGCGGCGGATCCGCTGCGCTGCGCATATCCTCAACCTCTGTGTGCGGGCAATGCTGTACGGTTCGAAGCGAGAGAATTTTGCAGCAATTGTTGCTGCCGATGGCGATGATCTAGATGACGACGAGGAACAAGTTGATCAAGCTATTGACGAGGCCCTGAATGGAGAGATGGAGGACGGTACGGACGAAGACCCCGGAAGCACTGCCGTTGACATCACAGACGAGGACCTCATATCGTCCCACCCGGCTCCGGAGGAGATCAACGCAGCCAGCTTCAGGGAGTACAGTCAGAACGGCGCCCCCGGAATGCTTCATAACATCGGTCTTCAGCTGCGAAACACGCAGCTGTACGAACAGTTCCTTCAATCTCAACGTAAGGAATCCGGCCACGGAACGACACTTCACTGGGCCTTCAACAATGCTACCCGGTGGAACTCGGACATGCGTATGATGGAACGGGCCCTTCGACTCCGCCCGGCGCTCAATACCTTCTTCAATGACGTACAGAACAGGTGGGAAACCGAGGGCCTCTGTGAGAGAACGAAGCCGGCAGTTCTGCAGTACCGCTTAAGCGCGTATGACTGGAAAGTCATCGAGGTACTTATCAAGCTTCTGAAGCCGTTCGAGATCGCCACCAAGCAACTTCAGGGCAGTGGTGTTCCCGGCGGTAGGTCCACATGTGGCAGTTCCGATGAATACTTCCCCGTTTTTGAGATCTTACTTGACCACCTCGAAAGTGCTATCGAGGGCACAATCTTCGAAGAGGTTGAGGATCCAGTGACTAGGGAGAAGAAGGACGTCGAAGTAGCCATTTATGACGGGCTCGATAGCAGGACCCGCAGGTTGCTCAAGGTCTATATCAAGCTCGGATGGAAGAAGCTACATAAATATTACAGCCGGCTGACTAGCGCTGCATACGTCGGGGCCGTTGTCTTCAATCCCGCGAAAAAGTGGCGCCTTCTCGATCAACTCTGGTCTCGAGTACCGTCTCGGAAGACGAAGAGTTGGCGGTCGGAATACGAAGCGAAGCTCTTGGAGATCTGGGAGAAGTATAGGGAGCGCGACGTTGACAACGAGGTCCTCGCTACGTCTGAAGAGGCCTCCATGGGTTACATTGAGCGGAGACTTGCTAGGACTGTAGCTGGGTCGCCATTCAGCCAGGGCTCGTGCGGAGCGTCAGGTGCCCGCAAGAGTAACCGAAAGACGAAACCGTCTGCGGCGGGAGCGACTGGTGATGACGAATATGCTCGATATTGTGCAGAGGACGTTGTCAACAGCCACCACTACAGAAGCAGACCGATTGACTGGTGGAAGATCAACCGGAGCCGATATCCACGTCTGTCTCTGATGGCAGTGGACATGCTTACGATTCCATCGACGTCCGCGGAAAGCGAGAGGACGTTTAGCAGTGCAGGACGTATGACGGCACCATTGAGAAGCAGGCTGCGGAGGGAGATCGTAGCGATGGCTCAATGCATTCGATCGTGGAGTAAAGCTGGGATCTACACGCCTTCCCTGCCGCTATTTAGTCTGAACGAGGATCAATGGGTTGATGCTCTTGCGTCGCTAAAGGGGCCGAATGATGTTTGATGAGCTTGTTAATTAAGACAGCAATTGACCGCACTTTCGACGTCTCATCTGGAGCAGCTATGATGACTTGACATCCTTTGACACTTCTTCACCCGCGCGATGTAGGAGCCCTCGTGAAGGTGACAAAGACATGTCGGTGCAACGCAGGTTTGGTGCCCTGATCTCTGCTCAAGTTCTACGTTCGACCGAATTCGATGCGAATTCGATCGAACCTTGGCATTCGATAGATATCGAATCTACGGGACACGCGTTCGATTCGATGCGAATCTACTGGGGACACGTTCGATTCGACCTCGAACCGAACGGGCAACGATTTTCAGGCGTTCGATTCGATGCGAATCTACTAGAGGCACGTTCGATTCGAGGGCGAATCGAACGGGCACAAAAATTCAAGCGTTCGATTCGATACGAATCTGCAGGAGACGTGTTCGATTCGATGCGAATCTGCAGAGGCCCCATTCGATTCGAACGCCAAGTCTTGGCGTTCGATTCGATAGATTCGTAAGATGTCCATCCCTGCATGGGTCACTGTAGGCAACAGTGTCCCGCCTACAGGCTGCACCTGTGCAGCCTGAAGCCATGCTGTTGGGCATTGACGCCCTGAGGCTCCTTCTTGCAACATGTGGAAGGATCATGTTGCTCCCCTCCTGTGCCAAGCGGCGCTGACCTGTTCCGGACTGGCACGATGACTTGGCCAGGCTGCCAACCGGCCAGTAGGAAAGGCGCTGGATGGGTGGGGTTGGGCACTAATTGGCCCGGCTACGTCGGAAAGCTAGCACGACGCTCTTGTTATGCTTAATTTCCAGATGCGGCAATTGCCGCAATGCGGGGAATCGTAATTGGAAGGGGATCTTCCGACGCACGTGGCGTCACTGTCAAGGGTCACTGGTCCGACGGGTCGCGCAGAGGCGTTAGACTGGGGCCACGCGTGAAATGAAATTGGCGCTAATAATGTGCCGGGTGCACAGATAAGGTAGCTGACGGCCTGGGCACTGCTTACGGCAGAGGTAACAATACGTTGGACTTCCATCGCCAGAATCAACGGTTCGCACCCTATCATTGACTACATTGGCCCCCATCGTGATTCGAGAGACGCAACGTGAATCCAACAAGAGGTGCCTTGTAACTCAGGGGCGGATTGGGCCTATCACCCACCTGCTAGCTGGGGCGTTGGAAGATATCTGGCTCACTTGCCATTCTCAATTGATGTACAGCACGGTCTAAGCCAATTGGGCCGATTGGAGAAGCCCTGGCACCACAATCTCAAGTGGTGTCCTGGAGCAGGTCGTGCCAATCATTTTCAACAGGATATCCACGGGGGCGTTTTGGTGGTTGATTCAGCGGCTGAGCGCCACAACACCGCAATTTAGCGTCCGTGCCCTCAGCGGCGTCCAATATCCACCCTTCTCCACGGTCGGCCGGCGGCCGGCCGACCGATCCAAATCCCGCTGCTGGGAGCGCTGCCGTAGCAGCACGCGCTCATTCACTTGCAGGGGCCAAAGGGGATCCAAAATGACGTGTTTCTACTTCTTTGAACGTCCAATCTGCGCCTTCCTGTTCGCCCGAAGCTGTTTACAAAACAAGTCAAGCGAGCACCCGCTTTGTTGCTGTTGTAAATTGACCATGTGCATCGCTGCCTCCTCACTACACCTGTGAGCCTTCGCAATTTTGCGAATCTCCCTAATGACCTCGAGCCGCAACGAATACCATTGCAATTCATTTTGCCGGCCGGCGCGCCACCGGCTGCCCCATCTGCTGTTGAGGTCGGCAACGGCTGGCCCGCCGCGAAGGCCATCCGTCCACTCACTCCAAAGTGCCTCGACAGTCTTTACTGCTCGGCACATTTGATACTGTGGCGGAGGCTCTGGCTTAACTATTATCGTATCTGCCGCTCTGGGGCTCGTGGCACGGCTGTCGATGATGCTCGATTGCGTCGAGACAGATCGGCTTCCGTCCCCTGGCCCAACTTGTCCAACGGCGTCCACCGCTACCGCGGCCGTGGTGGCAGGGGTGGGAGTCGCGGCTGCGAGTTGTAAATTGAAACCGCTGGAAAAGAGTGACGATTGGGCCTCTGCAAGACGTTCTTCTGTAGCCCGGAGCTGCTCCGTCAGCTCTGTCCTAAGCTGAGAAGTCCTGGCTTCGTTCCGCGCGTCGACGGATTGAAGGTAGTCGGCAAGGACCGGCATCGCTTGGATTAGAACAGCCAGCTGACTCGGCCGCTCCTCTTCGAGGATGAAGTCCGATAGCTGCTGGGCGAACGGCGCGTAAGCCGGATGCCGGAAGACAGGGTGGTTCCACACAGGGCTGCCGGGGTATTTCTTCATCAAAATAACCGAATCCTGCAACACAACCTCGCGCAGATAGAAAAGAAGGTTTGTCGAGCCCATCGCCGCCAAGTCGTTCTCCTGCTCGGTTCCCGGGCCGAAACGACCGCGCCAACGGTCTAGTTCAGGCCATATCATCGAAAGGAGGACCTCCGGAGGCGTCACACCGGCACGGCGTATCTCGAAGCATCCGATCTGCGGCGGGTGGCCGGCCATAGTGCGCATGAACTTGCGAGGCAGCGAGTTCAAATAGCAGCCGACCATCTGCTCTTGATTCCAACGACCAGCCCGGCGGATCTGATCCTCACTGATACCCTTCAGTTCCGCCGTCCTCGCCCCCGAGCTACGGCCGACGTGCGTCTTCTTCTGCGACGTGACCCCAGCGTAAGCGAAAGCTTTGACAACCCAGTCGCGCTGTGAGTTGTACGAGAAGGCCGCCATTCGGTCAGTACCGTTACCCTTGATCAGGCGGATATCGTACCACGCGGAGCGCCGGCTGAAATCGGGAAATGGCTCACTACCGAGATCCCAACGACACAGTAGGTAAAACGAGAGACCACCCAAGATGCAGATAAGCGGGTTCCTATTCCGATACGCACCGGCAGTCTCGAGGCGCCCGTGCTGGTTCTGCTTGCCGGCTCGCGTCGTGAAGATGAGAGGCATGCAATGGGTCGAACCCTCGCCGGCAAACTCGAACGTAAAAAGGTCTGAGATCTCCGCGGCCCGACGATCGCCGCCGCGGGTGAGGAGATAATGGCCGAAAAGGAGATCCACGAGGGTCCGAAAATGGCACTCGGTCGATGTCCCGCTGTGAACCCAGAGCTCCGGGCATCCGCGCTCAAATTCGGACTCCGAGTAGCCATCGAGAAGCGTATCGCGGCCTTTATCGGCATAATTCTCCTTGTCCCGCTGGGCATCCCGACGTTGTAGGGACTTGAGGTACTCTCGTACGTTGTCTTCGCGAGGCGACGGGTGCGTATTCATTCCAAGGGCCTTTTGCGTACGGTAAAGATCCGTAATTGCGGCAACATATGTTCGGACGGACCGCCAGGCCAGACGAGTCTCGTCCTGCGGGGTGTCGGCGGCGGCTTTGCGACTCCGTACCTTCAAGGGCCGGCCTGCTACCTCGTCGACGAGGAAGAGTAGAAGCTTCTCCTCCGTAACCGTAGCGCCGTCGCTGTACTGTTTGCGTTGGCAAAATTGATCGAACTCCTCTTGCTTCGGCCCGTACGCCGAGGTCGTAGTTTTTGGTCGGGACTGGTGGATCGTCGAGAGAATCGTCTGAGCGTTGGCACGCAGCTCCGCTTCGTTCATCGCGTTCTGTCGCATGCGCTGGGCAACTCGCATGGTGGTCGGCTTTGCACGCCTCTCTGGCCCAGTCCCTGGCCATCCCCCTTTTGGTGCCCCTGCGAGCCTCGCCTTTCGCCCCGCTTTCACCTTCGCCTTCCGTGGGTTTGACGTCCGAGCCATGTCTCGTCGTGGTTCGTGAGGAGAGCGAGTGAAAACGACCCTACGACACGGCCGGGTCAGAGACGGGGTGATGCACGGCGGGCCACGGATTCTGTCCCCAGCGACAGCGAAATCCGCGCCGCCCAGCGGGCGAGTCGCCAAAAATGCTCGGGGCAGGGCGCTGCAGCGACCGTGAATAGCGGCGTCCACATGGAATCAGCGACGAGATCAGCCAGTGGTAACGATATCTGCGAATATCCACGGCAACAGGTGTGAAGGGAGGGGCGGATATCCGCAGATACGATTGGCCAGCAGCGCTCGCTGATTCTCAGCTCGCCCCACCCGCCGGATCAGCGGCTCTCAGCGAGCCCTCGGACACCAAGACACTCCCCCGGCCAAGCCGAGCCCAGAAGAACTTCAAGTTCAAGCAATAGAATCGACAGTTCTGGCCTCATCGTCGACTACGGGAACCCCATCGTGATTCGAGTGCTGCATCGTGAATCTAACAGAAAGCGAGCGGAGCGGACCAACGGGAGAGGCGGAGAGCGAGGGGGGGAGGAGGGAGTGCCGCGGGTGGGGCATAAACCCTCTCGGAACTTCGTTCCTCAAGGCAAGGCAAAGAGGATAAAATTTCCTGGGCCAATGGTTTTGGGGGGGAAGAGGGCGGGGACCGGAGGCACGTTGAAAGTCCTTTCGTTCCTCAAGGCAAAGGCTTTGAGGAACGAAGTTGGCACTTGGGATGATTAACCTTATGGCGTATGCGAGCAGCGTAGGCGGGAGGCAACGAGCGTATCTCATTCATCAAGACTCATTCATCAAGACAGTAGATTTTGCCACATCTGACATCCTAAGAAGCTCTCTTTCTCTTCGACGGGGACAAAAATCGTGCCAAGGGAGATGTGGGTGATACAATGTTCGGCTGAGCAGCCGATGAAGGCGCAAACACAGCATCCAAGCTCGGTCGATCATAGAATGTCCACGTGTCCGGGACGACGATGAAGACAAGATCGCGATCCAACTGTGGTGGGTGAGCCATGGCTTCGTGGCTGAGGAACCCGACTACTTTGCCTGTACAGACGAACAAGGTATGCGGCTGTAATTTGGTATCGCGCCTCTCAACCATCTTGCTGCAAAGGGAAGCCCACGGATTGGCATGGATTGGGAAGAGGACGAAAACCTGGAAAGGATGAAATCCACCGAAGGGCGGTTTGGCTGGATTCCCGGGAACAATGAAGCTCGACAACTGCACGAAGCCGCAGCACTTAAGCTGGTCCTCCCCTAGTTTCGCAATCGGGCCGCCGCGAAGAAGGGAGCGGCCGGAACCCAGAATAGGGCCGGAAAAGCAGGCGACCGGCGACATTGTAGGGAAGAATTTGTCGCCAGTGGTTAGCCGCCCGTCAATGCTGTTACACTAGTAAGAAAGATGGCAATACCCTCCCAGAGAGCAGGCTCATACTGACGCCTGAAAGCCGAAGTCGCGGACAATGAGAGCAGGAGCGCGGTACTCGATAGGCTCTTCGACAGGTCCGCGATAAAGGCCCTCGTCGAGATCCCAGGTAAGTATGTACGGGTGGACGCGGCCCTGCATGATGAAGTACCTGCCCTGCCACTCGGATGCGACGATTTCCTTGTTGAACAAACACATGTTGAGACTGAAGAAGCCTTGGCTGAAAGCATCGTCGTCGGCTTCGGCAGTGCGCAAGAGACTTCGATACCGTTGGTCTTCCGTTAACCAAGGAGGCTTGGGGAACATCACCCTGGCGGTAGCCTCCGCGTCGAGGCCCCTGATTAACTGGCGGTCACGAAGCGGACACTTGGCGGGCATGTCGCTGCCTGTCGTGACGAACATCAAAGTCATGTCATCGCCGAGGTTCCTCTGGTATTCGTAAGGTCTGCGGCGAGGAGCATCGTCCTGGGCATCAGGACAGGCAGGGCTCGAGGAAGACATTGAATGACGGGGTTGGAGTAGCAAGGGAGACATTAGCGAACGGATATCACTGACCGTTTGGCGGCAGAGAAGCAGACGAGATATGGGGAATTGCCTGGGTGCGGGGTTCTGAAACACAGAACACCCGCGACAGGTCCGGTCGATCAGGTGGGCAACTTAACCCCAATACCAGGCGGCCATGTGGAAGAAAAAGGAGCAAACGAGAGCGCGGGCTCGAACACAATGGAATTGGCGGTGAAGCCGCTGCCAATGAAGGGATGGGCTTCCGGACTCAAGGGAGAAGTGAGAGGAGGCGGCTGGGGTGTTCTCCCGTTCAGAAGTCCCTTCGGAAACGTACGTTCCTCAAGGCAGGCGGGGCAGAATCCTTTCATCTCTTCGTTCCTCAAGGCAAAGTCCTTTCGTTCCTCAAGGCATACGGTAGAGCTAGTTTAGTGAGCCAGATAGAACGCCTCATTGGTCCAGATTTGTGGAGAAGGTACCCCACATCCTCTCATGGTGCCGTCGGCTAAGATATTGACACATGCCAACAGTCCTGCCAGAAAGCTGCGAGATCGATGCGACGGAATTTCTACCGCCAAGTCCCCACGAGTACTCGTTTCGGTCCTTTTCTGGCTGATATATGACTGGGTGGTGACGCTGTGGGTGGGCTACGAGTCTCCGACGCGGTTGTGCAAGTGGCTCCAACGCCACAAATCGTACGACAAATGAAACTTGATTGTCGCGTTTATAAAAACGAGCGCAGATTTGAACCGTCAGTCCTTCCCTTCATTCCTCAAAACTGTCTGGTACCTCACCATGCACGAGAGAAGGACAGCTGGCAGGAGAGTTGGGCCAGCGCAGAGTAGCTGCTGTTGAATACGAGCGTGCTTATGGTTGTAACCCCAGGCCGCTCCGTAAGGGATGGTAATTGTGAGATTGGTTGTAGCTTAACACGGTTGCCCCACTTGTGCCCCAGGCTCAATGGTACCCCGCATTCCCACCTGCTGGACTGCGGAGGCCAATAATGGAATCACACGGTGGACTCCCGGGGGACCCTTCGCGGCTTGAGCTCAATCCGGTTTCATCTGGACGGTTCTGGATATAATGGAGTGCAGTTCATGTTGGATACGCCTTGTATTTCTTGTATCTGTCCACAACCCTACGCCCTGAGAGCGCCGCCACATAGCTCCATGCCCAGCCTCTCGTTGTACCGTGTCAATATCAAGCCGCTCATTCACGTAGACCGTTACCAGCACTGCTGCCTACTATCGGTGGCGATAGCTTCAGGCAACCTGGCTTCTGCCTGTCGTGTCTCAGATGCCTGCCTCAATCGGCACAGGTATAAAATACCGACTACAGTCAATCGTTAGATAGAAGAATCAAGAGTCTTTTGTTGCCCAATTCGCTGGGGACCTTCAGCCCGGTCGTCAGTTAGTCATGCACACGTGCAGTGCGACATACCGTCAATGACTTTCACCCTGGCGTCCATCAAATAGTTCAACCTTGCGCCCCAGCCCAACTCCAGGGAAAGCTGATACACCGAGTGAAGGACCCGGCAGCTTGCGACTAGTCGTGACAGGAATCTCGCGGTGTCCGTGTGACAAGACAGGGATTGCGATGATTGGTGGCGGCGTATTTCCCTGCCAAGCCGCCGCGGTAGTGTGTTCCTGAGCAATGTGGTTGGCCACATGACACGTGCCCATAGCCGCAGTGTCACACAAACAACCAGTCCCACGCTCCATACCACGCTCGGTCAGGTCCTCACGGAACACAGACGCTATAATGCGTGGTGTTTGGACCTACGTCGAGATCAAGGCTCACACACGCCGTCTCAGGCGCCGCCAGCAGCTTCGTTTCCAAGAACTGCACCACAAAAGCAGGTCTTTCCCTTGCAAGGGCTCCGAACTACCGTACCTCTGACTCGTACTCTTCAGGATAATTCCCATAGATCTGTATGATGCCAATTATGTTACCTGTGGAGCTAATTATCTCACGTACGTTGTTCCACGGTGAACTATGATAGTGGTGGCGGACCTTCTCTGGCCCTGACGGTTCCAATCGGCATCGTCGCTTTATGGTCGATCACGAGCGCATACGTTCCAATCACCGTTGGGTCTCTCGGTCCCTGCAATGGTATCTTTCTTAAGTGGCGTCCGACGCTCAATAGTCCCAGTTGAATGGCTGGCTGCGCCTCAGCTCAGAACGAAGCTATTCCCTTTGGGCTTTCCGCGCAAGTATTTCGCCTGTTGTGCATGGAGACGGCCCGAATAAGACCAAGGGAGTATCGGTCGATGATGCGGATGCGGAGTGCTAGTCTGGTTCAATAATTCCATCGACCTGAGGGGAGTGGAAGTGTCCAGGTATAAAGATGAGGAATGTCGCTGTAAAGTCAGTTAAGTTTCGACAGAATTTCAACCAGATACCGCGCACTATACCCCGGCCACGCTCGCCACCGTGAAGTTCAAATGCACTTCGTTACCTTATACGTTATGGCTCTAGCCTCTCCAGTCCTAAGCAAGGCTGGAGATGGCGATTGGGCAGGACCTTATGCTAAAGCAATCGCCGCCCTGCCGCGATTGTCACAGCAAGACAAGATCAATATGGTTACCGGTTATAGTCGGGATGAGAGCTGCACCGGGTTGACACGGGTAGTTCCTTCTATTGGGTACCCGGCTCTCTGTCTCCAGGATGGCCCTCTCGCGTGAGTGATGCCGACGAATATAACTGTTCAAAGTATCTGATACATCCTAGCGTCAAATTCTTATTAAAGAATGCGACAGTCTTTCCGGCTGGGATCCAGGCGGCCAGCACATGGGATACGTCGCTGATCTATTCGAGAGGGTTTGCTCTCGGCACCGAGTCAAAAGCGGCCGGCGTCCATGTCCTCCTCGGGCCAGCGGGTGGTCCTCTTGGGAAGATTCCAGCCGGAGGTCGGAATTGGGAAGGATTCTCCCCTGATCCTTACCTAACAGGCATCGCAATGGCAAACACCATTAACGGTATGCAAGCAGCTGGGGTTCAAGCTTGCGCAAAACATGTCATTGGCAATGAACAAGAGAAAAATCGGCACACAATCAGCTCGAACATCGACGATCGGACAAATCATGAGCTCTATCTCTGGCCTTTTGCTGACGCCATTAAAGCTAACGTCAGCTCAATCATGTGTTCGTACAACTTGGTCAATCGCACTCATGCTTGTGAAAATAAGCTGCTGCTGCAGGGCCTGCTAAAGGACGAGCTTGACTTTCAAGGATATATTGTGAGCGACTGGGGTGCGCAGCACTCTACAGCCGAGAGCGCCAATGCCGGGTTAGATATGGCCTTCCCTTTCCCAACTGATGACCCAGTATACTGGGGCGGCAATCTCACAAATGCAATATCTAGGTTTGTCTTCTATTCCGAAGCTAAGCGAGATGAACGGATATTGACTAGGATATAGCAACAATGTCTCTCAAAGCCGTCTTGATGACATGGTCACACGTATCTTGGCCGGATGGTATTTAGTGGGCCAAGACAGTGGCTACCCTCCTTCGAACGGCTCTGTGCCGAATGACCACAAGATGTTGGCAAGGAAAATAGCGCGAGACGGCATCGTTCTTCTGAAGAATGATAACAACACACTACCTCTGAAGAAATCCGACAGGTTGGCGATAATCGGGGCAAATACCACCGCGGACACAGTGTATCAAGGTGGCGGCTCGGGAGCTGCGGAAGCTCCACAACTCGTGGCTCCACTTGATGCAATAATGAAAGCAGGCACGGTTGTTGCGAACTCGACTAGCAATGACCCAAGCAACGGCGCTTCGGCGGCAAACGCAGCAGCGACGGCGGTGGTATTTCTCAGCTCTTATTCAGCCGAAGAGTTTGATGGAGGCGACCGATCTAATTTAAACCCTGATAGGAGCGGCAACGAACTTGTGGAAGCGGTCAACAAAACTGGAAAGCCTACGATCGTCGTGATCCATAGCGTTGGGCCACTAATTCTCGAACCCATCCTGGCACTTCGTAACGTGGTTGCCATTATTTGGGCCGGCCTTCTAGGACAGGAGTCCGGAAATGCGCTGGTCGACGTACTCTATGGGGATTCAACGCCGTCTGGAAAGCTCCCTTACACGATTGCGACGAAGGAGGCCGACTACGGGACTGCCATCACCAACGAAGCCAGTGACGATTTCCGGGAGGGACTCTATATTGATTACAGACACTTTGACAAAGAAGGCCTGGAGCCAAGATATGCGTTCGGGTATGGTCTTTGTAAGTGCTCGCAGTAGTTGCTTGGCAAGCTCTTATTGGCACGCAAGGTCCTGGATCTTGGGCTAACTTCTCGAAGCATACACCACATTCGACTATGCCGACCTTACTGCGTTTCTGATAGAGGAACCCGCTACGAATACGCTTGCTCCTGGCGGCAACACGAGCCTTTACGACACCATCGCTAATGTGTCTGTGACGATCAAGAATACCGGCAACCGTGTCGGTGCCGAAGTAGCTCAACTCTACGTCGGCCTCCCTCCTTCGGTGCCAGATACGCCGGCCAAGCAGCTTCGCGGCTTCAGGAAGAGAAGCTTCCAACCCGGCGAGCATGGGACAGTTACGTTTGAACTGAGGAGGAAGGACCTGAGCTACTGGAATGTAACATCCCAGGAATGGGTCATGCCCAGTGGAGTGTTCAATATCTCTGTTGGTGCAAGCTCGCGCGACATAAGGTTAACAAATACCATAACTATCGACTAACCGTCTGATAAACGCGAACAGACTTGCAAATAGATAAATCGAATCAAATCCGGGGTCCAATTTGATTTGATTTGGATAGCAAAATCATGGATCTGATTTGATTTTGATTTGAATCCATTTGGATCTCATTTGGATATTTGGATAGCCCCACTTTTTTCCCACGACGAAATACATTGAGCCGCTCCTATAAGGTCCGCTTTGAGGCGGCCTCTCTGAGCTGTGACCATCTGTCCGGCAAGGCTAAATATTCTCTCTGGCTCTGAAGACATTGCCGGAATAGAAAAGAGGTCGATTGCCATTCGCGACAAGCGTGGATACTGGCGTCTGCGGAGGAGCCAGTACTGGATGGGATTGTCCACAAGACAATCACCCGGATCGGTACTGCCCACCCATTCTGCGTACTCGTCACGCATGGAGGACGGCGATGGCGCAGGTTGAGCACCAAGTTTCCTAATTGAAGTCATGAAGTCATCTAGGTCCGTCGTCTTCCTGGCAGCTGTGGGCTGCTCGGGTATCCTGTCTTGCTCGACCGCGAGGGTTCGGTACTCCTCCCAAAGCTCTTGCACAGCCGCCCTCCCTCTGGCCAGCCAGTCCGGATGATCGGACCATTGCGACTCGACGGTGGACCAGCGAAACGCGGGATGGAGGACGAGGCTTGCAAGGTACGCAGGGCTATCCTCCGTGAGGGCGTAGTATTGATCGAGCTTCATCCAGCCCAGATTGCAGCCGATTCGCAGGTAAGGCTCCTCGTCCCGTTCGTGCTGTAGCTTTGCCTCTTCTAGGTGCTTCAGAAGCCATTCCATTGTGAGCAAAACCTCCCAAATCGCGCCGAATTTGCCTTGCCTTGGCTGGCCCTCTAGGCGCTTTGTCGCGATCTGCAATGGTTTCAAGATCGCCAAATATTCTGCAATAACGGACCAGTCCTCAGTGGCCATCTGGTCATCTACAATTGTAGGCTTCTTGCGGCACCTCTTCGGCATCGGCTTTGCCCCGTGCTGTGTCCTTCTCGCTACGTATTGCTTCCACTCTGTCACCTCCGCTTGGACCAGCGAATCGAGTGCATTGCGAAGCATGTAACCTCGCTCCATCATCGCTTCGGATGAGTTCCAGCGAGTAGCGTTGTCCATGACGACATCGTAGGTTGTTTTGTCTTCGAGGTCCAGGGCTGTGTTCAGCGCTCCCAATAGTGTGGACCATGAACTGTACTATTAGTGCACACTGCAGTGCACACTGATAGTGAATGGACTATTGGTTCAGTGTAGGTTTTCCGCACTACACTGATGGTCCAGTGTATGGCTCTCGCACTACACTGATGGTTCAGTGTAGGTCGACTACACGGACCAGTAGTTCAGTGCGAGGATCGCGCACTAATAGTGCAACTATTAGTGCGCTCAGGACGCAACGGCTGGGACAGCCTGTTTCGAATCTATGAACCGCGGCATGTCAGAACGCGATGCCACGGCACGGGGCGAGACGCGCCGCACGCGTCACGAATAATTCCAGCAGAATGTTGAGGAACGTTAGTGGGTACAGCGTTGCACCCAGCAGGTGTGTCATCCGACAGGTACTGTCCAACTGATGCTATCGCAGCTACCCGGCGGTAGGTCTCGGAACGAGAACTCAGGTGTACACAACTGAATATTCAACAGCAGCCTACGTATTGTTGCTTTCAAAGTTCAACTGTTTAGCTGATTTTCCAACCGGAGTATGTGCCACAACTTGTGAGGTGAAATTTGCGTGGAAAGCAGGCATCGTGGTGTTAGAAGTTACTAGTCATGCCACCACACACAAGTAGGGTCCTAGTAGTAGTAGTAGTAGTGTATTTTCCGTCCAGCGGCCGTGAGGCCGCTCAGGTCCCTATGGGGCACAGGACGTGCTGAGCTAGTGGGTCTGTCCTACGTTATCGATACAGGATGTGTGGGTCTCTCAGAGATTACCTCCTCGTCTCCCCTCCTCCCATCGCGAAAAGTAAACAAGCCACCATCCAGCATTTCAACGGCTCTAAGGCGCTCCAATTTGTGCTCGGTGCCCGTCAGCGGGTCGTCCAAGCGCGGCATCCAAGTTCCGTATTCTACTGGCCTCGAGAGAGGCCGTCGTCGGAGACTGCAGGAGCAGCCTCAATTGACCCGGGCGGGCAAAGGGTGGTTGCACACCCTCCGCCTGGACGGGTCGCAGTTGTGGGAAGCAACAAAAGAAAGAGAAAGAGAGGACACCATCCGCCTAGTGGCGAGGACACGCCCATTCGAAGAACGAGCTTGCCTTCGCCAGCTGGACGAACTTGTCGAAGTCTCTGCCTATTGCACGATTGACTGCCACAGTCGGTGAGGGTGCCAGCCTCATCCGATGTCGTGGCAGGATCTTTCGGCAATAGAAGAGATGACTGGGCTCTTTTCGTCGGCCACATGAGCATGACAGCCGCGCGTCGTCGTGGTTGAATTTCTCGTGGTAGTCGGCAAAGTCTCCGTGACGAGACCGTGCCGCGAGCAGGTGGTGGAGCAGTGGTCGTGGGAGCTCTAGCTCTGGTGGGCAGCCGGTGGCAGGCTTGAGATGCAGTGGCTTGTACTGGTCGGGTGCAGAGGCGTCCCACCAGGCTTCAAAAGCGTCTCTGGACTGCTGCCGGGCAGTCCTACGCAAATGAGCGAGTGTCGGGAGAGCGTCTGCGGATTCGGGCAAGGAGGTGGCCGCCTTCGCCAAGGCGTCCGCCTGCTCGTTGCCTGCAATGTTGGTGTGGCCAGGGATCCAGCGGACCTCAGCGACGCCATGCGTCGTGGCCAGAGCCTGAAACTCGAGGAACACTTCCTGAGAAGAGTCCGCGGGCATGCCTCTCAGGCAGGTTGCGACCCCGAGATTATCGAGGCACACAAAGATGCGTCGTGGGTTAGGGAGGTTCAGTGCAGCACGCAACCCCTCAAGGGCGCCCTTGGCTTCGGCGTCGAAGACCTCAGCTGGGCCAAGGCGACCGTTGCCAGTCGTCAAGGTGAGCCCATTGCGATGAATCACATAACCGTACCCAGCGGCCTTCTCCGTCGAGAGGGATCCGTCTGAGTAGACGATGAGCGTCTCACGTGGGATAGACCGGAGCCATTCCAGGAAGTTTTCTGCAGACTCGTCTTTCGACGCGGTCTGTAGGGGCGTCGCGCGCTCGTCGAAACGTCGGGGGAGGAGCAGCGGTCGTGTGCTGCGAGGTAGCAGTTGATCGCTGCGTCTGAGTCTAGTCCGGAAAGCCTCGCGAGGCATCTGGTACTTCAGCTTGATTGACCTATGGATGGTCGGCGGCTTCGGCTGCATTGTGCGTTTTGCCAGCGGGTGTGCCTCATCCACACGCTTAAGCCGGGCCGCGAAGCGCATCCGGCGAGTTTCGAGCAACTGGGCGATCGGCGGGATGCCACTCTCACGATGCAGTGCGGCGATAGGCGTCGTCCTCCAGACTGGCAGGACGGCACGCATAGAGTTGTGAAGCGACTTGTTCATCTTCCGCAGCAGCTGCTGGATTCTAGAGGAGCCCTCTTTCGTGGGCTGGCTCCAGCGAGGGCTGCTCAATCCAGGGTACCAGGCCTCGACGCCGTGGAGCAGCACTGGCTCAACACAGGCTCGGACGGCTCTTTGCATAGCGCTCGGAAGTGGGCCATGTTTGGTATTGGCGAGCCCTCGCAAATGGTGTGCCACGGCTTGCGCACTGGCTGTCCACTTCTCGACGTGGGTCCTGAACGTCAGGGTGCTGTCAAGCCAGATACCTAGCCAGCGCATCGCTTTTTCCGGGCGTCTCTCGCCTTCGTGGAAGATAGGCGGCGACACCTTGGGTTTGGTTCGGCCGAAGTGCATGACCTCGGTTTTTGCAGGGTCGAAGCTTATTCCGTTGGCGGCGCCCCATGTTACGAGCTCGCTGACATACCGCGACGCCCTGTCGGCCGTCATCTCCAGCGAGTTTCCTACGCATAAGATACCGGTATCGTCG